TATTCCTTGGATCTATGATTTCTAGGTATCTGTCTGTCTGTGATTTAATGTCATTTTTACTTCCTAGATATAATTATTGCCTTTTTAATTGAATTCGCCCTTTCTGAAATTTATCTGAATTTAAAATTAGGGCTTAGGAAATTTTCTGGCCCACATTCAAATACTTGTGATTACAGCTATTTTATTTTTATATTTCATAGTTAACATTCTTCAATGGAACTTTGAAAACTGAGATGCATGATTCACATGTATTATTACATTTTTCAAGATTGGAAAAACTGGTTAAAGGTAGTATTTTGTAAATGCACACTATGTCACACTTTGAGAGAACACAGTGACTGTGGTATGACATGCAACACTTACTTATCTTTGGCCTTTCCAACTCGAGTGTCCATAAACCCCAGGCCATGAGCAGCTATGACCTAAACAAACTCTTCTGAGCTAACTGTAAGCTACAAGTCTGGTATTGGCTTTATTAAAGACAAAGGTTAATTCCTTCATAAACTGATAGAGTATAATGTGTTGATAATATGAAATAAACTCCCTTCAAACAGAATCGATTAGGGGGATTCATTTTCTTGAAAACTTCTGTGGTTTCACAAAACAGATTAAGTTGTGACAATGTCGAAGTACAACTCTGATCCAAATAAATGTGTTTATTTATCATAAGTAAAAAATTTATCACAAACATTTCTAAATATAATGAATCAACTCAAATTAGTGACACGTGTGTACATAGTTTTTCCTAGAAGTTAATCCAAAGTGTGTAAAATATGTACACAAGTTCTTCCATTTTCAACAAAATTATATTGTAGGCAGTAGCCATAAATAAGAGATGAAATGCTACCTCCAAGAACTTCAAATCAGTTCAAGGAAACTTGGAAAAAGGTAGAAAGTCTGATCAATCATAACTTTTTTGTAATGTGTAAAGTACTTTGATTTAGGGAGCTATATTAAGGCTATTTTTCCAGAAAGAGGAGACAAGATTTAGTTTTTACTAAAATACTGGGCTTTGAAGGATTACAGTCATCATCAACTATAAACATGACATTTTGGGTAAAAGAGTGTAAAGAAAATCTTGAGTCATCAGTGAAACATTAATTAGAACCTCATTCTTCACCAAACCTTTTATTAAATATTAATAAACAGTTAAATTAACCGATCTAAGTATTTCTGTCAGCCCTCTAAGGAGTGAAAGTGCAAAGGACTGGAACAGGACATCAGTTAGGAGAAAATGCAAGCAGCCTGAATAATTCACAAATAGCTAACTGGATAGTGAGTGCCAGCCTTCGCTTTATGCCTGTACTTATATAAAAATAGCCTTCCTTACCTGGAAGAAGTACGACTGTAGAGGTTGATCCTTATTTTCTTCATCCACATACAGTCCTCCAACCACGTACACCTGATTTTGTTGGGTAACGATGCTGGAATGATTTCTGGGAATCTGCTCAGCCAGTGCAGTAAGGTAGCATTCATTTTCTGTGGGATCATAAGCCACGGCAGCTGTGTCATTAACCAAGAGGATGAGGTCTTTGACAAACATTCCGTGCCTGGGAATGTCATTCAGGTAACCAGGAAGTAAATCTTCATCACCAACATCACCATTCACCTCACCAGCCCCAGCCTTCTCTGCATTTTTGCTAGGTTCTGGGAGTTTGCCTGCGAAGGCATCTTTGAGAACTTTGATTTTTTTCTGGAGTTCTGGGTTGCTTTTAATTATATCATCTTTCTCAACGTGATCTTTAAAATATTTTTCTGTCATAAGGCGAAAACGGATACAATCAAACACTTCGCTAAGGTTTTTAACCCTGTTTTCTTTGTCTGTTCGCACCCATTTCATCACTGCCTCAAATACTGCTTCTTCCTTTTCCACGTTGAGGCTGTCATTTGAAATGACTGAGATCAGTTCCTGTGGAGACAGTTGCATAAAGTCCTCTTCCTTACAAATCTGTACAAAGCGATCAGACACAAATTCACGGGCAGAGATGGCGAGTCTCGGGCAGTCAAGAAGAAGTCCTAATCTTAGGATGGCTAGACAGTTACCAGGAGCAAGTCTCTTCTGAAGATAAGAAACGCAGACAGTGAACACTGAGGGGATCTGAAAGCGGCTGGCCAACGCAAAAATATCTTGCACGTTTGCATCGTTGAGATCAATAGTGGCAGAGTACAGGTACTTGATGATTAAATCCAGGACAGCAGGATCCACATTATCTAGTACTACCTCCTTTTTTTTCGCTTCATCAATTTCAGATAAAAAATACTCACGGAAGTAAGGACTACAAGCTGACAAAATCAATCTGTGGCAAGGAAGACTTTTGTCACCTGCTTTTAGTGTGCAATCGATGAATTTTTTCTCATCCAGGAGATCTTTTAAACCATCCTGAAGAAGGGTGGATTGGTAAAGCCGCAGTTCCTCTGCGAGTTCCCGCTGGGAATCCATTTTGTGAGCAACCTGGGTAAGGAAGGGGACACTGAAGGCCTTAGCTCCTCGCAGCACACAGGTCTAGCTGTAAAAAGGCAGATCAGCGTGCTTTGCCCAGCTTGAAGCCTTTGCAATTTAATCCCACCAGCTATATATAGATACCAACTCTAACAACGGGAATTTAGGAGAGCCAGTTTGGAAAGAGTTGTTCTTGCAGCTGTTACAGATTGAAAGGAACAACTGGAACTTTTAATCACTAAGGAAACAGCTAAGAAACAAGAGATTTAAATGAAGTGGAAAGCCTTAACATACATAAAGCATTAGAAGATACGCTAATAAAGGCTACCGCAAGAAAATGTTTATCAAACAGAAAACTGAATCATAAAAATGAATCAGTCCGCTAAAAATGGTCTAGTGGCAAGCTACTTGACTGTCTGAATTAATGATTCAAAGGTCAAGAATATGAGGTGAGTTCATTTAAATACTCCTAAGATCCCCTTTCTGGTAACTGTTACACATAAATTTTTATTTTCTACTTAAAACAGTGGGATATATAATTTTCTCTTAGAAGTAGGACACTTAAAGACTTTTACTTATGGACTATAATTATAGTTTTTTTAAAGAAACCTTTATAATAATAATACCCCCATCATAATTGAAATAATAAATGCAAAGAAACTGCTAATTTTCTAAGACATTCTAAATTATCTTTATTCTTGGTGGAAAAAGTGTACTTAGTATTAAATTATAAAATTATTTAATTTATTCACTCCCTCTCTTGCTCTACAAAGGACTGGATGTGGCAAACGATAATAAAACAAGCAAAATAAAGGCAAAAGATTAAAAGGAATCATCAAGACCAGAAAAAAACAGTTAAAAGTCAACACTAGGGAAAGAAAAAAACCCACACGTATACAATATGATCACTAAAGATATTCTGTGATTTTAAGTGTTGAAGATGATCTTTATTAAATAAAAAGTTAAAAATAGAACAGATGCAACCTCATGAGAACAATATTACCAACAGAATATAGCAAAATCAGGATGAAATGCTATATCACCTGTAGAATTTGGAAAACAGGCCTTATATATACAAAAAGAGAATATATAACTGGAATCATAATTTAAGTTGATTATACTAGAACACCATATTAATTATGGAATGTAGAAGGCATGATTTGAAAGAAAATCGATCCTTTGTTTATATACAGATGGCATTGTATACCTCTTCATGAAATATTTTATTACAAAATTATATTGTCACATTTTCTGAATGCAGCACGGCTGTGGGAATACTGTCAGTTTAAAGGTTGGTATTCTTAAACATGCCTCAAAGAACATACGCTACATGAAGACAGGGATTGCTTTTTTGGTTTTGTTCAGTGTTATAGTCTCGTGGGTGCTCCATAAATATTTGTCGAATGAATGAATGCCCCTAGATCAGGGAATTATGTACTTTTAAACTTCAAGGTCTCTATCCATGAGTAAAGTTTTTCCTCTTAATTTACCTCACGGTGAAGTCAATGGTACTGTCAGCTGCTGAAACAACAGCTGAAAGAAGAGCTCATTGACTCTTTTTCCATTTATAGATGCCACTAAAGGTTTAACACACTAGAAAAAACCACCAGCTGCTCCCTTGTTTAAACAATAAATGACTCATTTCTCTCTCACGTAACACCTAACATTTGAAAAGATTAATGAGTCAGATGCAATACCGTGAAATGACATTTGAGATTATTCTTACTAGTCATCAATTTTATAAAGTTTCTTTTGCTTGGAAATCTATTTAGACAATATTCTTGGCAGCATTTTATGACCTGTATAAATTTTTCAAATAACCTTTTCTTCTTCTAATATAAGTTATTATAACCTCATCCCTTAGAAATGTAGAAATCCTTTCCTATTTAAATGAAGAAACCAATGTATAGCTTTTGTTCTTTGATTTTTATTAAATTCAGGTTAGCGCTTGGTTGTACTATGTGTCTCTGGTTATACAGACAGTTGTATCCTACTTTAAGTGTTTTTACACACTCACTCCCTTCCCTCTGGAGAAAGAGGGCTCCTTTGGCTAATTTCAGTGCCTTGACACAGGTTCCTTACAATGCTTCTTTATACTGAACCAGTGGCAAAAAACACAGATGCCAGAGATGTCACCAAATCTTATTTAACCAAGAAATGAGAAAATATATCCTACTTTTGAAAACTTCAAAGAAGTCTCAATGAATTCAAACAAGGAGAAGGTCAATAAGCAAACTATTTATTTACAAACTACATAAAACTATTTCCTTACAAAATAAATGTATTCTTGCCAAAACTATATTGAAATTATTTTTAAAATAGTGCTTAAAACTTCACATAGTGGTTGATATACTCCAGAGTTAGCTATAATTTTTAGTTTTCACAGAAATGATCACCCAAAAATGACAAATTTAAGGATTGTAATTTTTTTAGAGTTGGCTTACATTTGGAGTGATGTGATAATATATTTAAACCAGATTTTTACAATTAAAAAAGCAGGATTTCAATTACTCCATAAGAATAGTCTTATTCTTTTAAATAATACTTTCAAAACGTTAAATGGTGCTGCATAAATTCTTTATTAAACCCAACATGATACAGTCATGTAATATCTGCAGACTAATAATTTACAAGTATTAGGTACAAAATAAAAATATTTACAAACTGGATACATTTCAATTACAATTTTAAATATAATTTTTAGAAAACTGGCAGTAAATCTTAGATAAATGAGGTTTTCCTTAATCATTAAAAAATTCTTTCTTAAAAGCTTTTTCTGTAAATGTAAAAACTATTCCACGCCTTATAGCAGGCGACTAGTATCTTTAATCTTGACGTATCTTTAAAAAGAAATCCAGCTCAACTCAAGATCAACTCATTACTTCCCAAAGTCCCTGTAGGGTGAATCCATCCTTCAATTTCTCTATTGCAAGCCCCAGTTCTTCTGAAAATACAGGTTCACGATCTTGTTGCTTTTTGGGAGATAAGCAGATGAGATGGGAATAGAGAAGGTGGGCAAGGAAGAAGAAAAAAACAAAAAATATGTTTCACATAAGTTTGTGAATACTAAATGTTGGAATACAGAAAGTTATTTTCATATAATATAAGCAAAATGTCCTTACCTTATTGCCATCAGCAAAATAAGCCTATAAAACAAAAAAAATTACATTTCACATACTCAACATATAATATTATAATAGGTCAGCAGGCTAAGGAACAGGTAATTAATTTACAGAACAATTCTGTAACTAAATGAATTTGACATTCTGTTACTGTGTGTCTAACGGTTTTCTCACCTATCTTTACAACGTTGGTAGAATTCACTTCTTCTGACAATCATTATTAATGTCTACAAGAGTTATGCTTTAAGCTCTAAAAAATGTACTTTGTAATTAGTGTATAACTAGCATTGTTTACTTGAAAGGAGATAAAAAGAATGACTTAGAAGCTATAAAATTTCATCCCTACTTTTGGTTTAGAAGAAGATGCTGGCAAAACAAAACAAAGCAATGTAATTTGAGGCAGTAGCAGTTTAGAATGAAATATTTCAAACTAACTTCACACTTATGTTTAAAAATATTTGTTCCTGAGAGGTATTCTGGTCAGACTCATAGACTACAGCATACAGAAAGCATTATTATTATTTCGGCTATTAACTAAATAATACAAATTTGGAAAAACAAGAAAGTTTATTGTTCAAATAGATATCCTTTTAAAGGTAATACACCTGTAAATTGAAGGGTGGCCCATCTCATAAAGATTAAGCATGTAAAGTATAGATTTTAAATTAATTTAATTAACTATAATATTTAACATGTCCTATTTTTCATGTCTGAAATCCTCTGAATAATTGTGTTCTCAAACTATTTCCCAATTTGTTAATTTAAAAGTATTTTCTCACACACACAAAAATTCCTAACTTAAAAAAAAATTACTCTCCAACAATGTTTAAAATACTCAAAAGTCTCAACTTCTATGATGTTTTACACTTAAATCATTACTTAATTAAACTTGACTCACAAGATAATTAAATCACAAGATAAAAAAAAATCACAAGAAATTTAGTAGCTCTTCTTTGTGATGCTCACCACAAAAGCGTCTGTGTGATCATCAGAGTCTATTTCTACGTCATCTTGAATTTGTTCAACCGTCAGAGCTTCAAGGGACTGTGGCTGAAAATCAGTAGATGTTAAAATGCATCAAAGAGACAATATTAATTAAACAAATAATTTTAGTAAAATATGTTGCGAGAATTGTAAATACTTATTGTGATCACACAATTACAAACTAAAGTCTTATAAAAATCACTGCATAATTTATACACTATTAAAACTAACTTGACTAATAAAGTGAGTCACTTAAACCTAAGCTTTTAAATCTGAAGTCACTATCATGAAAAGAACTAAAATGACCAATTAACACATACTTAACATGATACTTAGATATATCTTTAAAGAAAAAACTCTTATTGGATTTTGTCTTTCTTTCACATAGTTAAAAAAAAACTAGGTCTTGCATAATAGCAAATTTTCAATTTTCCTCAAAATAGTCATTAAATACAATTTGTGAAAAGTAAAAAACTAAGATTTCTATGGAATATTCTAAAGGTAAAGCAGAATAAAATATAGTGCTGATATTTATTAATTCATTTTTCAAATATTTGAATATCTTGGGTGTATTAGGTATTAGGCACAGGGTATAAAGACCTTGCCCTTACCCACACAAAGTTTATAATCTAGGGGATATATATGGAATTTGACAGAGAAAAAAAAATTAAGTACAAGGAGCACTACCATGCAACAAGGACCTCGCTGAAGTCAGAAAGTGTGAATTTGCACTTAGCTGCCCAGCTCTACTTCCTGATCGTCTCTAGTCACATGCTGTAGTCCAAGAGCAGGAGGAGAGATATACATAATCTCTGTGAGATGTGATGTGGCTCAACATGCTGAGTAACAGCAGGGACACTGATGAGAAAGTGGATGGCAAGGGCACCAGCAAAAGAGTGTCCAGAGAGGGCCCCAGCAAAAGAACAGACAGCAAGAGAACATGTGATAAGAGTGGTCAGTGAGGGCACCAGAGAGAGAGACTCTGGCAAGGTACCGCTGATAGAGCAGAGAATGAGGACATCTCTAATGGAGTGGCTAGTAGGGACACCAGTGATAGACCAGATGACAAGGGTCCCAGCTGGAGAGGCTGAAGAGTAAAGCTAAAAGAGAGCTGATGGGGGCCAGCCCTGTGGCTGAGTGGTTAAGTTCGCGCCCTCTGCTTTGGCAGCCCAGGGTTTCGCCAGCTCTGATCCTGGGCGCGGACATGGCACCGCTCATCAGGCCATGCTGAGGTGGCGTCCCACATGCCACAACTAGAAGGACCCATAACTAAAAACACACAACTATGTACGGGGGGCTTTGGGGAGAAAAAGGAAAAATAAAATCTTAAAAAAAAAAAAAAAAAAGCTGATGTACCTGGAGAGCATGGACTGGGGCAGGAACCAGAAGTCAAGAGCAAGGCAAAGAGCAGACATGTGGGTGTGATATTCAAAATATTCCATAAGTGGTATTGCAGAGGCACAGGTGAATAGGAATGGACACAGGACATACTGACGGAGCAGACTCCTGGAGTTGCTATACTGGGGGCACTGGAGGAAGAGAGTGGTTTCCATGAGGCCTGTAAGGTTTTCCAAAATGCCAGTGGGAGGGTGAAGTAGAATAAAAATAAAGCTGACAGAGTGAGAGACTAAAGTCTGTCTACATCAGAGGAGCCTTGCATATGGAGGCTTGTCTGGACAGGCTGCTCACCTAGGAAGGCAGGAATGAATGATTAAGCAGCCAGTGAGAAGATAGTTTAAAATTAAATGGTACACAATGTGTTTATATCTGAATTTGATAGATTGTGTAAAAGCAATTCAGCAAACTCTGTATTTCACATACTGAACAAATTACCTTTTCTTCCATCTCATAATCCACTCCAAATATAGGATTGGCAGAATAGACTTTGTGAAGTGAATTGATTTCCTTAACTGATTCTTGTAGTTTTTCCAAAGGATCTATTTTAAAGCCAAGAACATATCCGCCACTCTGCAAGAAAAAACGAAAAAACAAAAAACAAGCCTGAGGAATGGTATTTACAGTACATGATAATCCATAGCTCTGTCCTTATTTCAGAGTGTAACATGTACGATGATTTTTTAATTAAAATTTTTGTTATGAAAAACTTCAAGCGTCTGCAAAAATAGAAAGAAAAGTGCAATAAGTGTCCGCATAGCCATCATCCAGCTTGGACAGATAACAGTACATGCCAACTCTGTTCCATCTGTAACTTCCCCCTCCCTCAAATCTCCTCCCCTCACCCACTCAGAATTATTTTGAAGCATATCCAGATATCATACCATTTCATCTGTTAATGTCAAACCTGATATTTTAAAATTAAAAAAGAAATACACTGTAGATTGTGAAGGCCAAGGGAACTAAGTTTTTCGTGAGCTAGACCTTGAAACGGGACACAGGCATGCCTCATTTTATTGCGTTTTGCTTTACTGCACTTTGCAGGTACTGCGTTTTTTATAAGACCCTCCACCAGCAAAAAGATGACGACTTGCTCAAGGCTCAGATGATGGTTACCATTTTTGAGCAATAAAGTAGTTTTTTAATTAAGGTACATACACGGTTTTTTTAGACATGATACTATTGCACGTGTAATAGACTACAGTATAGTGTAAACATAACTTTTATATGCACTGGGAAACCAAAAAATTCATGTGACTTGCTTTATTGTGATGTTCACTTTACTGCAGTGGTCTGGAACTGAAACTGCAATATCTCTGAGGTAGACTATATATTAAAAGAAGAAAAGGAATGGTCTACCTGAAGTTATCTCCTTGAAGAATTAGGAAAGAAACTTGACCATGACAGATGGTTGGAGAAGAGTGTTAAATATTAAGTAGCATGCTGTAATAAGTGAGAGCATATGCTTTCAGTTGAGAGCAGACACTTTTGAGTTCAAATTCTGGCTTTACAACAAATTTACTAGCTGTATGATGCTGGGAAACAAACTTTCTTTATCTTTCTAAGCCTCAATTTTCTCACCATAAAATGACTGTCAAGTTGTATTAAATAAAATACATAAGACATCTGGTACAGTTCCTGCAATGTAATAAGTACTCAATAAATGGCAGCTACTAATCTATAGGCCAGGGGAAAGGAGTAAGTAGATACTCATGTTTAAATTTAGAATTTAGAAGAGAAGTGATTTTGTACATAAGTAAATTTTTTATTTAAACATATTTCTACAAAAACTTGGCATAATGGGACATAGCAGTTTATAATTAGATGAGAGAGTATAAAGTCTCAAATAGAGGATGTGTGTGTATCTGTATATATCTGTGTTTCTCAAAGACAGTCTTCTGCACCAGTCAGATGTGGAATAAGAACCTAGCCCCAACACTTACTAGTTGTGAGACCACGGGCAAGGTTCCTAACTTCTAAAAGTCTGTTTCTTTCACTGTGAAATGGGGAGGAAATAGTAACTGTATCATAGGGTTGTGTAAAGATTGAGATAATGCATGAAAAGTACACTGGCTTGATTCTGTCATTAAAAATGATAATCATAATGATAATAATGATTACATCTGTCCAACAAAGAAACATAAGCAGGATTCTTCCTATGGGGACAATTTCTATATGACTCCAAACTCAATATAACTTTACGTAATGGCTAATATTCTTCTTGGATGTAAGCTGGTTACTATATAAATTAAAAACATAGACTGTCACATAGTTTTAAAAATCTATTAAGGATTAATAAAAATATAAGGTGTCTTACCTGCTGAGAGCTTTCTATGACAAGAGCTAAACCAAATTTTGAATCTCTAATCTTTATTGAACGCTAGATATAAAATGAAAAAGAAAAAAAATTCATGATTTTATTATCTGATAGTAGTGACTCTTTAACAAAGGTTTTTCAACTTTTACACAGAAACTGCCTTTCATAGTCTAAAGAACGGAATTCTCTCTTTCCTTTATTTTACTCCCACAGAGATCAAGTAAATGAAAATTTTCATACTGGATATAGGTAGCAAAGTTCTAAGGCAGTAGGAAGAAGACATCTCTGAAATATGTACAAAATTCTCTGACTCAAATATACCCTAGCCCCAGGGAGTCCAGAACTTCTCTGAATATTTTAAACCAATAACTAGTAATCTTCTGGTTACTGGAGAGCCAGTGTCTTTTGTAGCACTTAAGGCTGGGTTAGTTTGAAAAAGTCATGTGTGCCTTCTGTTTCTTACATCATAGGGGGCTAAATTATTAAAGAACCTCTATTCCATTTATTAAAAAAAAAAGTTATGAGCATTCCTCACTGGCTATCAAGGAAGTCTGGGATAGGTCAAATGTAATTAACAACAGGTAAGTGTGACATGAGAATTAAGCTTGGCTAGCAGGAGATGAGCAGCGATACCAGTAGCGTTGGAGAAGGGAAGAAGGGTTGAAGCACAATGACAGGTAGTACCTGTAGAAAGTGACACAAAATATGTTTGCTGGTGGCATTAGAGAGAACCATGGAGGATCTAATGTTATGACCAGCAGACAGAAGCCCAAGAAGGGTAATCTGTGGGTGATGGCATATCACACTTTCAGATAGGCACTGGAAGTTGAGAAAGAGAATGAGGAGAGAGAGAGGAAAGAAGACAGAGAGAGACTAAATGGTAATTGTTATGAAAACCTGGCCTTCCATCTGAACTACTTCACACCTCACCAGGATTACACACAGTCCTGGTTAAGAACCATAGAACACTGGCATCCTGGTTGTCAACAGGTAATCTAGCCAGGTGACTGTGGGTGACACAGGCTGGTAAGATAGAAACTGGCAAGAAGAAACATACAGATATATATCTATAGGAGTAGGGTCAGGGCGATGGCTGAGGCGGAGAGCTGAAGTTAGAATATGACTACACAGTGACAGACTGTGATGATATCAGATTGCAAGTGGTTTGGGCCAGGCTGAATTCATTCCAGAGGCCATATATGGCAACTGTATTCTTAAATAACAAAAAGTATCCTATTTGAAGAACAGAAAGCACAAGGCTGTTTACTATTCAGTAATTATTCAGCATAATAGAGGTTAAGTTAGGCAAGCTATAACATATGCAAATGCAGTATAAAACAACAATGAACAATACAAACACTAATTTATCAAATACTTGTGTAAACTGTGCCACATACATCTTCCCACCCATGATTATAAATTATTTTTTTGAGGAAGATTAGCCCTGAGCTAACTATTGCCAATCCTCCTCTTTTTGCTTAGGAAACCTGGCCCTGAGCTAACATCCATGCCCATCTTCCTCTACTTTATACGTAGGATGCCTACCACAACATGGCTTTTGCCAAGCAGTGCCATGTCCACACCCGGGATCTGAACCAGTGAACCCCAGGCTGCCGAGAAGTGGAACGTGCGACCTTAACCACTGCACCACTGGGCCGGCCCCATGATTATAAATTCTTATGTTTCTTTAGTCAGCCAGAAAGAATTTTCTTCTTATCAGAGTCTATGATTTTCTGTTTAATGTGTTGCTTTTCTCCACCAGACAAAGCTCCCTGATGGCAGGAACTGTGTACTGGTTCGTGATTTTCCTGATGTATCTCTAGCACCTAACATAGAGTAGGTGCTCAACATTTGGTAAATGAATGATCAGATATTTTAAAGCAATTCAGAAATCAAACAATTCGGTAAAAGATAGGCTTGGGAATATTGTGCAAAGAATTATCCTTCCCATAGGCCAGGAAGTCTCTTGAAGAAATGACATTTTCCAGATATCATATACATTGTATCCACTCAATAAATATTTATTAATGAAACTGCTTAGTCTTAAGACTACTATCCTAAGTGATTATCATAGAATAATCTCACAGAATTTTCATTAATATTTTTATGTTACATCTAATTTGCACTAGAGCCCTCTAAGTAGTTTCTTTTAATACAAAATGAAATTCCTTAGTTTATTGGAGTTTACGATTTGTTTCACTGAATCACATTCTTATCATAGCAGCAGCAGACAGTAAAAAGAACCACCTTTATCTACTCCCAAAACAAATCTGTCTCTTATTCTGAATTTTAACAGCTTTAATTTAACTTAAACTAAAACCATTATCACTAAAAATCATCTTAATTTCTTTTGCCAAGCCTATAACAATAAAGCAATTACATGCTTTATCTGAATACAATGAAAACAGTTAATTCACAGAATTGGTGAGTTAATTCTGGCTCTAAAAGGGTTTGAGGAGAAAGTGGCAGGAGAACTAAGATAAAGTGTGTGGATCAGTGTGCTAAAAGCCATGCCAGGGAACCGCCTAGTGGAAAGGTTATGGAAAACTAGTAGCTAAAGTCCACTGAATAGAATCTAAGAAAGACACATCTTAATCTGTATGATAACCATTTAAATTTTTAGAACCCAGTATATTTCTGTCTTAATAGCAGGTTGATAATGGTGCTGTTTCCCTTGAGTGCAAGTATATTTGGGGCTTTTCTATATTGAAATAGTAAATTACCAACACTTTAAAAGTATGCTCTCAGGTAAACTGCTGCCACTTAAAAAGGGAGAAAGAGCATTCCTCTAAACCCAAAAGTCTTAACCCTTGAACAGAAATGATTTATTCCACATTAAAATAAGGTCACCAAAATGCATGCACTTACAATTTGCAGATATGGTATACTGACATTAAAACTGTCATTCATATTTGCATGCCACACAATTCTCACATTGGTAATAAAAAAGGTTCCTAAATTTCCCTGTGAAAGAGAGTAGTGAGAGAGACATCAATGATCATTTGTTTTAATCCTTATTCTTTATTTTGTAAACACCAGAATAATTCTGATTACCACAGCAGCAGCAAATACCAGAATTGAGTATTATGGAGTTATTGATGACTTCATCATTCACTGGAGGCAGTACAAGTAGATGATGGAGAGCCTGGACTCTGGGGTTGGACGCTAATCATTACACCATAAGTACTTACCAGTTGTCTGACCAGGGGCAAATTTCTTCTTGGTGCGTTGTATTAAACATAAAATGGAGATTTGATTACGTAACCCATGTAAATAAAGCCCTTAGCACAGTATCTAGCACATAGGAAGAAGTCTACAAGTGTTAGATCTTATTATGACTATTATTCAAAACCTGGGATAAGTGAAGGCAACGGAGTTGTGGTAAGAGCATGACAAAACACATGTGATAAGTCCCACTGGTCCACAAGAGAGATTTTATGGCTCTTCAAAACTAACTACAGATCAAAACTGTTCTCCAGTCACATGGCTCCACAACATCTACTCAAAATTACCCAGAAGGGCCCTGCCCTGTGGCCAAGTGGTTAAAGTTCTGTGTGTTCCACTTTGGTGGCCCAGGTTTGTGAGTTCAGATTGCAAGCACAGATCTGTTCCACTCACCAGCCATGCTGTGGTGGTGTCCCACATGCAAAAAAATAGAGGAAGACTGGCAATGGATATTAGCTCAGGGCGAATCTTCCTCAAGCAAAAAAAAGAGGAGGATTGACAATGCATGTTAGCTCAGGGTGAATCTTCCTCAGCAAAAAAAAAAAAAAGAAGAAGAAGAAGAAGAAGAAGAAAGAAATTCTCCCAGATGATAGCTAAGTGGTCTAAAAATATCTTCAAGACCTAATAAGATGGCACCAAAATTATCTGCCTCTACCATTTATCTGTCATTCTCCACCTCCTCTCCACCTCTTCCCCACCACTTGTACTCAGAGGAATTTATTTTATACTTTGAGGTTGTGGAAAAACATTAACTTGCAAACCCAAAACCGAAAAAGCCCTCTTCTGGGATGACCAGGTTTGAAACATCAGAAAAGATCACCTATTTCCCAATTAATAATTAAACTAATAAATATATGTCTAAGTATATATATTTCTCCCCTCCACTCTCATCTTGCAAGAAATTGTTATACAAAAAATTTTACCCCCATTATTTCTAGCCTAAGTCCAATTAAACAATACTAATTTTATAAGAAATAATTCTTTACGTCATTGTTCTTCTTATTTTAGAAAAAGAAAACAACTTGCAAAACTCCTAAAGACTTTTAAAAATAAGAGGGCATATTTTATTTGTTTTATTATTTTTCAATAAACATAAATTAGGTTGACAATAACATCCCTATTTTCAATAAAATAATTTATCAGATGATCCTGGAACATCTTAATTAATTAATTAAAAATGCCAGGTGTCATGCTACATGGTAAGGATCTAACTATGAAAACCCCTATCCTTATAAAGCCTGCAATCTAATGTGGGTGTACAGACAAGCTCTATATTTTAGAGTAGGAATAGAGTGCTAATTAAGTTCAGGCTACATAAGGAATACACAGAAGGAAGCTTTTAAAGCAGGAGTTGGTAAACTATGTTCCATGAGCCAAATCTGGCCTGCCACCTCATTTTGTATGCCCTACAAGCTCAGGAAAATTGTTTTTTTTCTTTTTTTTTTTTTGGTGAGGAGGATTGGCCCTGAGCAAACATCTGCTGCCAATCTTCCTCTTTTTGCTTGAGGAAGATTGTCCCTGAGCTAACACCTGTACCACTCTCCCTCCATTTTGTATGTGGGACACCACCACAGCATGGCTTGATGAGTGGTGTGTAGATCGGTACCGGGGATCCGAACCTGCAAACTCTGGTCTCCCGAAGTGGAGTGCACAAACTTAACCACTACACCACCAGGCCAGCTCCAGGAAAATTTTTATATTTTTAAATAGTTGGAGAAAAGTCAAAGGAACAATATTTCATGACACATGAATACTGTATGAAATTCAAACTTCAGTATTCATAATAAAGTTTTATTTAAATAGAGCCATGCTCACTTGCTTATTGTCTATGGCTGGTTTCAAACTATATGGCAGGACTGAGAAGTTAGGACAGAAACTATATTGCCTGCAAAGTATAAAATATTTACCATCTGGCCCTTTACAGGAAAGAGTTTGCTGACTCCTGATGAGAAGTCATTCAGATGGGGAGCCATCTATATCCTATAGAAGCTTTATCATAATTTAGAACTTTTCAAATAAGCAAAGTTTATTTACAATTTATGATTTAATGTTTAGCAAGCAGCTCTTCATTCAAATGCTATAGCTTTACCACAGTGATTATCACTCTAATCTCGGTTGTAACACACAGAAAGGCTGGAAACTATTCTTAGTTAGACACAAATTTTTCTCTAGAAATTGATGTGTTACTTGTTCCAACTATTAGTTGCTTACATGTGTGAACTGGTCATAATTTCAAGGGCAAATAGAAAGTTACAATAATGAATACAGGAGTCACCAAATGAAGTATATGTTTAATTCCATAAAAACCAGTTTAAAAGGCTTCCATGACTGTCCACCCCATGGCTCTCCCCCCTGAGCATAAATTATCAAGATGGAGGGTACTGTAGTCCAGGCAGAAGAGCATGGCTCTGGGATGAATTAGACACGCGAGGCCACTAAATTCTTTGGGGCTTGAGTTTCTCATCTGTAAGTGAATAGGGACTGAACTAGATGATAACTAAAGTCCATGCCGGCTCTAAATTCTATGTAGAAGAAATGTTGCTAAAAGAGCAGAAAACTATACAAATGAGAATATTATTTTATATCAAAAGCTATAATGCTAAATTTATCAAGAGGTATAATGCTAATTTTAACAGAGTTAAATGACTATACAAACCCAATGATAACTGGAAAAATGATTACCAAAGCACTGCCCCCAAAGGTTCATTGTTTTCTGCACCATACCTGATCACTGGATAAATTCCACACTCCACTGATTTTATCATATACATGTTCTTGTGGTAATAATCTTAGTTGCTTATTTTGAATTAGTGCACTTCTCAATTTAAAATCACGATACATTTTAGAAGTTTCATATGCTCTATAAAAAAGAATAAACGAAACATTAAGCCAAACTGAAAATGCAGTTTTCTTAGGTTATGTTTACTTATCTACTAAAATATACAGTTGTTAGCACTTATGTACATCGCTCAAATAATTATTACAGTAAATTAAAAAATTTTGCTTTTCAATAAGTTTTGGTGATTAGTCTTTTGTAGACTTTGTTTGTCATTTTAGTGTAATATTTACACAGTTTGTCTCACTAATCTATTTTTTAGATGTCTAATTTTTAAGGCAATATATATCATCTAGCACAAATGAGAGGAAAACAGATTTTCTCTCTAAGCTGACAAATAATGCTTGCATATAATAGACATGGAAATCATTTTTTCTATCAAAATGCTTCCCTTCATTTCTCTGTTTTGTCAAACAGGAGTTCAATTACTTTTCTCACTGCAACCTGAAAACATTATGCTCACATCTACATGGAAAATAAGAATGAATCTGTACCAACTCCAAAAGGGACCCCAGGACAGTGTGTGTATCTGTGTGTGTGTACATACACAAAATCCCTATAACTTTTTCTTTCCAGGTCTCCCTATTGATAAGTAATAAATACAAAGAAAATTCTTAACTTTTGTTAGTTAATTCTAATTTTACTCCACAAAAATATAGGCTAATTTACCCACTTAATGAAACTAAAGGGTTTTCTTAGCCTGAGTAACATCAGAAGTCATTTACAGAAATTACAATGTTCATTGCTAAATTTCTGATTTTTACTCTAATTAATCTTCTAATATATAAATTGTGAGAGAGCAGGATTCAAGTATTTGCCAATAAATGTTAATTTCCTTTTGTGCTATAATCATTAATATTTAACCAGTGGAAAAAATGGAAACCATTTATGCTGTAAATTATTTTGGGGGGAAGACTTAAAACATTTTTATACTGTTAAAGAAAAGCAGCTTCCATCCTCCCTTCACACTCCATTTCATGTTACTTCTCTAAGTAAAGTGAAATAAAGAGCTAAGGTTTAGGTATATGCCCAAGAGAATGGAAAAATGTTTTCACAAAAAACTTGTACATAAATGTACATAGAAGCATTATTCATAACAGCTAAAAACTGGAAACGACTCAAATGTCTATCAACTAACTAGTGTATAAACAAAATATGTATCTATACAATGGAATATTATTCACCCGTAAAGAGGAATGAAGTACTGATACATACTACAACATGGATGGACCTTGAAAACACTATGTAAGTGAAAGAAGCCAGACATAAAAGGCCACTGTATTGTATAATTCCATGTATATGAAATGTTCAGAACAGGCAAATCCATAGAGACAGAAAGTAAATCAGGGGTTGCAGAGGCTATGGGGAGGAGGAAATGGGGAGTGACTGTTGTGGGAGTTTCTTTTTGGGGTGATGGAAATATTCCGGAATCGGCTAGTGGCAATAGTTGCACAACCTTGTGAATGTCCTAAAACTACCAAACTGTAAACTTTAAAATGGTAAATTTTATGTTATATGAATTATATCTTAAAAAAATCAAACCATTATGTAGATTAAAAAATCACCAACAAAATAAAAAATCAACAAACTAGGAAACTAAAATACATTTGCAACATATATTACAGGTGGGGACATAATTAAGAAATTTACAGTAGAAAACCATAAATAGCCAAAAAAATATGAAATATTTCAACATCATTAGTAATAAAATAAATGCAGATTAAAACAATGGTATATGTATTATATATCTCTCTCTCTGTGTGTATAAATTTGTGTATATATATATATTTTGCCTGTCATCTTAGCCAAGGTTTTAAAAAAATCATAGTACTTAGGGATGGTTAAAAAAATGAGCTGAAGTAGTGAAAAGAGAAGAATTTAGCAAACAAAAAATAAAACCACCACAAAACTCTGGAGTAAACACCCAAATATACCTTCTACTGTTAGAAAAATAATCTTTTAAATTCATTAATTTAATTATCCAACTTGGTTACTACACTGAATGAATTCTCTATTTCACTGTAACCATCTTGGTAGCTAATTTAATGGAATCAGTAGAAATTTTTATGAATCTTTAGTAGACTTGTGTGTTTTATAATTACCTTCAAAGTGTCTATTAAATGATAATGCAGTGTGTCAATACAGCTTCAGGATATTTGCAATACAGCTTTGAGGAAGATAGCACCACATTTCTAAACTTTATCCTCTAAATCTTTATATCATGGAATTACCTTAAAAATAGTCAATAATCTATAAAGTATTACCATACCTGTGTACTGCAATCACAGAAGTAAAAAGTCTAGGACTTCCAGGAACCAAATTTGTAAATATAAACTCAAAACGAGTATTGTTACATTTTGTTAGTATATAAAGAGCTTCAGTTTGGCCTCGTAATTTCTGTAAGAACAAATTTATTTAAAAGTTCAGATTTTAAGGAGTGATGTCAGTATCATGGTGGAGTGAGTCGTTCCTTTTGTCTCTCCCCTCTAAGTTACAACCAGTCATACATCCAGTGACCAACAAAGGATTTCCTGCACAGCACACCAGAACACCTGAGTGACCCAAGATGCATCTATCTATCTGAAGGTGAGGGGACTAGATCTCCAGGAAGCAGTGGAACTAGGGGAGCAGCCCTCTCTACCCCCCAGTGGTGGTGATCTAAAACATGGATCCTCACACCGGCATGCATGCCGGTGATCACAGGCTGCAAGGACAAACAGGACTTGTGGCTTGGCCCCTGTCCCCTGCCCCCAGCAATGGTGGGTGGCACACATGTCCTGAGGCTTCAGGACACAGAGTGGAATTGGGGACCCGAATCCCCCCCCCCCACCCCCTACAGCGGCACCAGTCTTTCCAGCAGTGGGAACTACACCCAAGGCGTGAATTTGCCTGACACGGGCAGGGTGCCCTCATCCGAGGTTTCAGGGCAGACATCAGTGTGAGCACCAGCACTAGTGACCAGAGGCTGTGGCTCCTGCCCCTCCCAACTGTGGCAGATGGCACACATGTCCTGAGGCTTCAGGACACAGAGAAGCCAGAGACTCAGCCCCCTCCCCTTCCCCTGGCAATGGCACTGGTCCCTCCAGCAGTGGGGACAGTAAGCAAAATGTGGATTTCATCAGCAGAAGCAGGCTGCCCTGACCCGAGGTCTCAAAAAGCATACTGGTGGGCACCCGTGACCAGACTGCAGAGCCAGCAACAACACTTGTGGTTTAGCCCCTACACCTCCACCCGCAGTAGCAGGTGGCACCTGAAACCTGAGGCTTCAGGAAACACAGCAGAACCTGAGATCCAGCCCCTAGTGGTGGGGCACCTGACACTGGCTCTACCACCAGCAGGGGCTGCATACAAGAACCCAGGCCCCTGATAGCAACAGCAACACCTGTGAATCCAGCACCCCTGGCAGTGGTGCTGCCAACACCCACAGATAATCCTGGGGCAGTAGTGCAGGAGGTGCATGGGGCAGCAGCACCCAGAAACTGTGGAGACTCTGCAGACAGCAAGTGTGGGAACTTGAGACCCAGGCGACCCCAAAAGCAGCAGAAGTGCTCACAGTCTGGTGACCCCAGAGGCAACACCTGAGACTGTGGTGACATCGAAAGCAGCAAGGCACCAGCAACCTCAGAGGCACAAGCAGCATAATAAGGGCAATGACAATGCCTCTGGCAGAGGCAGTGGAGGGTCAAAAGTACAGTCTCTGAAATACAACCAGAAGCAGCTCAGAACCAAAGTAATCAAAGCTGTACTCAACTAAGAAAGATGTTTATTACCACAAATGCAGGGGCAGAGGATCAATTCATCAAATACCATGAAGAACTACAGTAACACAGCAGAAGAGAAGGAGAATGACAGCTCTCCAGAAACCCAACTAGAAGTCACAGAAGATTACAATCTGACTGACAGAGAATTCAAAATAGCAGTCATAAAGAAACTCAACGAGTTACAAGAAAACTCAGAAAGACAGTTCAATGAGCTCAGGGTTAAAATTAATGAACAGAAGGTATACTGCACCAAAGAGACTGAAGTCCAAAAAAAAACTGAACAGAAATGCTGGATATGAAGAACACAATTAATGAGGTAAAAAATAATGGAGAAAGCATAAAAAATAGAGCAGACCTTATGGAGAAGAGAATCAGTGAGCCTGAAGACAGAAACCTAGAAATGATCCAGGTGGAAGAGGAGACAGAACTAGGATTAAAAAAAAAAAGTGAAGAAATTCTTCAAGAAATATCTGACTCAATTGGGAAAAGTAATATAAGGATTACAGGTCTCCCAGAGCGAGAAGTGAGGGATAAAGGAGCAGACTGCTTATTCAAAGAAGTAATAGCTGAGAACTTCCCAAACCTGGGGCTAGAGCTGGACATGAAGGTATATGAAGCTAAGAGAATTCCTAATTACATCAATGCAAAAAAATACCTTCTCCAAGGCATATAAAATTAAAACTGTCAAAAGTCAATGACAAAGAAAAAATATTAAGGGCAGCAAGACAGAAGAAAATAACCTACAAAGGAACCCCTATCAGGCTTTAAGGAGATTTCTCAGCAGAAACCTTACAGGCTAGGAGAGAGTGGAATGATATATCCAACATACTGAAAGACAAAAACTATCAGCCAGGGATATTCTATCCAGCAAAATTATCCATCAGATATGACAGAGAAATAAAAGCTTTCCCAGACAAACAAAAGTTGAGGGAGTTCATCACCACCAGACCTGCCTTACAAGAAACGATGAAGGGAGCTCTCCTACTTGAACAAAAAGACAAAAGTATATGAAGCTTTGACCAGGGAGATAAATAGATGGACAAAATCAGAAAATTTCAGCTCTATATCAGAACAGGTTAGCAAACAATTATAAAAAAGGATAAGGGGAAAGAAAGCATCAAAAATAACTATAACCACTTCAATTTAGTCACAACCTCACAAACAAATATTTAGTCACAACCTCACACACAAATAAAAAAATTAAAATTCCCAAAATACTCTGTCTCCCAGAGACCCATCTCAGCTCTAAAGACACAGGCTCAGAATGAAGGGATGGAAGATGATACTCCAGGCAAATGGCAAGCAAAAGAAAGTGGGTGCAGCCACACTTATGGCAGACAAAGCAGACTTCAAGATAAAAAAGATAATGAGAAACAAAGAAGACTATTATATAATGATAAAGGGGACATTCCACCAAGAACACATAACACTTATGAATATATATGCACCTAACATAGGAACACCAAAGTATATAAAGCAACTATTAACAGACCTTAAGGGGGGTAATTTACAGCAACATGATAACAGTAGGGGACCTTAACACCCCACTTACATCAATGGATAGACCATCCAGACAGAAAGTCAACAAGGAAACAGTGGCCTTAAATGAAACACTAGACTAGATGGACTCAGCAGACATATATAGAACATTCCATCCAAAAAGAGCAGAATACACATTCTCCTCAAGTGCATATGGAACATTCTCAAAGATAGACCATATGCTGGGAAACAAAGCAAGCCTCAATAAATCTAAGAAGACTGAAATCATATCAAGCATCTTTTCTGACCACAATGCTATGAAACTAGAAATCGACTACAAGAAAAAAGCTGGGAAAGTCACAGATATCTGGAGACTAAGCAATCTGCTACTGAACACCTACTGGATGAATGAAGAAATCAAAGGAGAAATTAAAAAATACCTAGTGACAAATGAAAATGAAAACACAACATACCAAAACTTATGGGATGCAGCAAATGTGGTACTAAGAGGAAAATATATAGCAATATAGGCCTACTTCAAGAAACAAGAAACTTATCAAATAAACATATACCTAAAAGAATTAGAAAAAGAAGACCAAACAAAGCCCAAAGTCACCAGAAGGAAGGGAGCAATAAAAAAGCAGAGCAGAAATAAATGAAATAGAGACTAAAAAAACAACAGAAGGGATCAATGAAACTAAGAGCTGGTTCTTGGAGAAGATAAACAAAATTGACAAACTTAGCCAGACTCACTAACAAAGAGAGAAGACAGGGGCTGGCCCCATGGCTGAGTGGTTAAGTTTGTCTGCTCTGCTTTGGCGGCCCAGAGTTTCCTGGTTTGGATCCTGGGTGCAGACATGGCACCGCTCGTCGGGCCACACTGAGGCAGCATCCCATACGCCACAACTAGAAGGACCCACAACTAAAATATATACAACTATGTACTGGGGGCTTTGGGGAGAAAAAAAAATTACCTAAAAAAAAAAAGAGAGAGAGAGAGAGAAGAAAAATAAAATCAGAAATGAGGGCCCAGCCCCATGGCTGAGTGGTTAAGGTTCACATGGCGGCCCAGGTTCAGATCCTGGGCACAGACCTACTCCACTCACCAGCCATACTGTGGTGGTGTCCCACATACAAAAAAACAGAGAATTGGCACAGATATTAGTGCATGGCTAATCTTCCTCAAGTGGAAAAAGAAAAGAGGAGGATGGGCAATGGATGTTAGCTCAGGGCTAATCTTCCTCAGAAAAAAAAAAAAGGAAATGAAAGAGGAGAAATGACAATGGACACCACAGAAATACAAAGGATTATAAGAGAATGCTATGAAAAGCTGAATGCAAACAAACTCAATAACCTAGAAGAAATGGATAAATTCTTAGAATGCTACAATCTCCCCAAACTGAATCAGGAATAATTAGAGAATCTGAATAGATCAATCACAATTAAAGAGATTGAAACAGTAATCAAAAACCTCCCCTAAAACAAAAGTCCATGATCAGACAGCTTCTCTGGTGAATTCTACCAAGCATTCAAAGAAGATCTAATTCTTATCCTTCTCAAATTACTCTGAAAAACTGAAGAGGATGAGATACTTCCTAACTCATTTTATGAGGCCAATGTTACCCTGATACTAAAACCAGACAAGGACAACACAAAAAAGGAAAATTACAGGCCAATATCGTTGGTGAACATAGATGTAAAAATCCTCAACAAAATATTAGATAATTGAATACAACAATACATTAAAAGAATCATTCACCATGATCAAGTGGGATTTATTCCAGGGATGAAGAGATGGTCCAACATTCACAAATCAATCAATGTGATATACCACATTAACAAAATGAAGGATAAAAATCACATGATAATCACAGTAGATGCAGAGAAAGCATCTGACAAGATCCAACATCCATGTATCACAAAAACTCTAAACAAAATAGGTATAGAGAGAAAGTAACTCAACATAATGAAGTCCGTATATGACAAACCCACAGCCAACATCATACTCAACGGAGAAAAGTGAAAGCCATTCCTCTGAGAACAGGAACAAGACAAAGGTGCCCACTCTCATCACTCTTATTCAACCTAGTACTGGAAGTTTTAGCCAAAGTAATTAGGCAAGAAAAAAAATAAAAGGGATCCAAATCGGAAGGAAGAAGTGAAACTCTCACTACATGCGGATGATCTGATTCTATATATAGAAAACCCTAAAGAATCCACTAAAAAATTATTAGAAATAATCAACAAATACAGTAAAGTTGTAGGATACAAAATCAACACACAAAAATCAGTTGCGTTTTGTTTTTTCTGTGAGGAAGAATGGCCCTAAGTTAACATCTGTTACCTACCTTCCTCTTTTTGCTAGAGGAAGGTTGTTGCTAAGCTAATATCCATGCCAATCTTCCTCTATTTTTGTATGCGGGATGCCACCACAGCATGGCTTGATGAGCAGTGTGTAGGTCCGCACCCGGGATTCGAAGCCATGAACCCTGGGCTGCAGAAGTGGAGCTTGCGAACTTAACCACTATGCCACTGTGCTAGCCCCTCGGTTGCATTTCTATACACTAATAACAAACTAGCAGAAAGAGAAGTCCAGAATACAATCCCATCTACAATTGCGACAAAAACAATAAAATATCTGGGAATAAATTTAACCACGGAGGTGAAAGACCTATACACTGAAAACTATAACACATTAATTGAAAGAAATCAAAGACATAAAGAAATAGAAAAATATTTCATGCTCATGGATTGGAAGAATTAATATAGTTAAAATATCCATATTACCTAAAGCAATCTACAGATTCAATGCAATCCCAACCAGAATCTCAATGACATTCTTCATGGAAACAGAACAAAGAATCCTAAAATTTATATGGAACAACAAAAGATTCTGAATAGCAAAAGCAATCCTGGCAAAAAAGAACAAAAGCCATCATAATATCTGATTTCAAAATATACTACAAAGCTATAGTAATCAAAACAGCATGGTACTGGCACAAAAAGAGACACAGAGATCAATGGAAGAGAATTGAGAGCCCAGAAATAAAACCACACATCTACAGATAGTTAATCTTGGACAAAGGAACTAAGAACATAACAATGGAGAAAGGAAAGTCTCTTCAATAAATGGTGTTGGGGAAACTAGACAGTCACATAGAAAAGAATGAAAGTAGACCACCCACAAAAATTAACTCAAAGTGGTTTAAAGACTGGATGTAAAACCTGAAATCATAAAACTCTTAGAAGAAAATATAAACAGTACACTCTTTGATATTGATCTTAGCAGTATCTTTTTTTTTTTTAAAGATTTTATTTTTTCCTTTTCCTCCCCAAAGCCCCCCAGTACATAGTTGTATGTTCTTCGTTGTGGGTCCTTCTAGTTGTGGCATGTGGGATGCTGCCTCAGCATGGTTTGATGAGCAGTGCCATGTCCGTGCCCAGGATTCAAACCAATGAAACACTGGGCCGCCTGCAGCAGAGTGCGAGAACTTAACCACTCAGCCACGGGGCCAGCCCCAGCAGTATCTTTTTAAATACCATGTCTACTCAGGCACGGGAAACAAAAGAAAAAACAAACAAATGGGACTATATCAGATTAAAAGGCATCTGCAAAGCAAAGGAAACCATCAACAAAATGAAAAGAAAATCCATCAACTGGGAGAAAATATTTGCAAATCATATATCCAACAAGGGGTTAATCTCCAAAATATATAAAGAATTCACACAACTTAACAACAAAAAAATGAACAATCTGATCAAAAAATGGGCAGAGGATATGGACAGACATTTTTCCAAAGACATTTTTCCAAAGAAGATATACAGATGCCCAATAGGCAGATGAAAAGATGTTCAACATCACTAACCGTCAGAGAAATACAAATCAAGACTACAATGAGATATCACCTCACACACTGTCACACCTGGCTATAATTAATGAGACAAAAAATAACAAGTGTTGGAGAGGATGTGGAGAAAAGGGAACCCTCATACACTGCTGGTGGGAATGCCAACTGGTGCAGTCACTACGGAAAACACTATGGAGATTTCTCAAAAAACTAAAAATAGAAATATCATATGACCCAGGTCTTCCACTGCTGGATATTTATTCAAAGAATATGAAATCAACAAGTGAAAAAGATTTATGCACCCATGTGTTTACTGCAACACTATTCACAACAGCCAAGACTTGGAAGCAACCCAAGTGCCCATCAATGGACGAAGCGATAAAGATGTGGTATATATATATATATATATATATATATACACACACACATTGATATACCACTCAGCCATAAAAAAAGACAAAATTGTGTCATTCACAACAACATGGATGGACCTTGAGGGTATTATGCTAAGCCAAATAAGTCAGACAGAGAAAGACAAATACACTATGATTTCACTCATACGGAGAAGATAAACAAACTCATAGATAAGGAGAACAGATTAATGGTTACCAGAGGAAAAGGGAGTGGGGGAGGGTGAAAGGGGTAAAGGGGCACATGTGTATGTGACAGATAAAAACTGGACTGTTGGTGGTGAACACAGATACAGTCTATAGTGATACAGTCTACAGTGAAATATAACAATGTACACCTGAAATTCACACAATGTTACAAGCTAATATGACCTCAATAAATAGATTTTTTAAAAAATCGGGAAAAAAAATCTCAAACATGAGATATTTTGAATTCTAAGCCATGTGAGTGTCCCTTTCTATGATTCTGTATCCATACAATATTTTAACTAAATAAAAAACATGTCATGCTTTGAGGGGAAAAAAAAGGTAAAATTTTAAGAGCAATTTCTCATTTACAGTGAAAACAAACATCAATCTCAAATATCTGTTTCTTCATTATATACATATTTGATAAGATTTTTCAGACTCACAGAGTTGGCAGTCCTTGTTGTGATATTTAGTATGCAGTTGTAACCGACAGCTAAAATTCAAAAGCAAAGAATTTAAAGAACATGATACAATGAACTGAGAAAAAAAAAACTCTATATACAGAACTTTTAACAATTTAAAAAATTAAATATATATAAAAATACAACTTTTAAAAATTTTTATGAAATAACTACAAATTTAAGTTAAATAATTAGAAGAACTAGAAAGTCAATTCTGTTTCTTTGAACAAACAAAAACATTCATAACATGGGAAAAGGAAGTTTACTTCTCTAAAACCTATTACTTACTGAAAATCTTAGCACCATTACATCAAGAGAAAAAGTCTAACTGGATAATCTAAATAGTTTTAAAAAATAAGTCAAACAGAATTTAACACAATGAAAGGCTGTACGTTCATTAGAATTGAGATCTCCCTTCTTTGGGAGTACTTGAAACAGGTTATAGCACGTTGTCAAAAATAAGCAAAAACCAAAAACAAATATCATTCAATGTAAAAGCACTAATCTTATATATGTCTTTCTCTTATGAGAGACAAAATGGACAGACAGAAAAACATTTTTTTGCATTATGATGCAGTCTGTGGTTAGTCTAGGATTTCTGAAGTTTTTATCAATTTAAGTTTTCCACATATTTCATGGTATAGCTTGTTTGGTATCAAAAGCCACTGTGTAAGTTCACTTGACAAAGGGTTTCTTTTCTTTAGTGTTATCTAATAAAGATACTTACAAAGATTGATTCTGGATATTGCCAAAGAGTGCCAAATAATTCTTAAATTTGTTACTAAGAGTCTACCTGAAAGCAAACCAACAAAATAGGTTACCTTAAGTAAGGACTCATTTTTGCAGTAAAGAAAGAGGTCGACATGGAACTTCTGTCCAGTATCAGCAGCGACATCCATAGATATTTTTCATACATTTATTAATTGAAAATATTCATTGCACATAACTATCCTGTGTAAGGTATACAAGGTATGATTCACAATCTCAGAGAAACAAAATCTGACAGGTATAGAAGGGAGAAGGTATTCACTGTCAACAGCTTAGTTTGACTCAAACTGACAGAAGAGAGCTGTTCTAGGGACCCAGCAGGTCATATGCATACAATGAGAATGAGTATGGGACGGCATTTACAAAGCCATTCAATGAAATCAAACTTCTCAAACAACTCTCATATATAAGCTAATCTCTGCCATAATAAGTGCTTTCTTAAGCAGTTCTCATTTAAATGAGCCAGATACACTTATATACCCAATGTTTTGGTGTGAGCACTTTTTTACTTATATGAAGTTATGGCCAGGCTGAAGTCTGTTTAAAGCTTTATGCTTTTCATTCTTAGCCTCAGATTGATGTTCTTACACTGAAATACAAAGTTAGATAAACTTCATTTCTCAAAGCATGTGTTGTGGAATAAGTGGTTCCTAGAGATGCTCCAAGAAAAAAAAAGTCAAGTAAATCTGAGCATGGTAAACTGAGTCTTAGAGATTTATAACACAATTACCATATTAGGATATCTTTGAGATATCCTTAAACAATAAAACTTGCTTAACTTTGCTTTACACAACTTTTCTTCAAAAAAATTATAACCATAGAATTCTTTTGATGAGTAATCCACAGCCAGGTCATACTCCTTCCTCCCTGAAAATCCCTGCAGTATCTAAAATCAGAGAAACTAAGCCTGTATGAATGCCGGAGTGAGATGGGATAGGAGGTTCCAAAAATAAAGAAAGGCATTCTCAAGGGAAACTGAGGAACATTACATGGTATGTTTGACTAAAATAAGTTACCCAGCATGGCTAGAGTGGAAGGTTCACACAAGATCGGAGAAGAGCAGACATCACATCTCTCAGCTCAGGAATTGTTTCTGAGGTGTCTGCGCACACAGTTATTTTTATTAATAGTAAGATTTCAGGCAACGTGATGGAGATTTCTGGCCAGGGAGGTGTTTTGTCCTCCCTACTCCGAAGTGCTGGTATAGGATTCTGCACTCAGTGAGTACTTAATGAATTGAAAAATGTTCTCTTACCCACAGTCTTTGTTTGGACTGGTGGACGGACTGTCACACAAGAGTTCCTGCCAATCCATATGAGAACCAAACTTTGTCCCGGCTTCCTCAAGTTAACTCAGGTTTCGTCAAGATGTGGCTACTGAGAGATTATTCTTCCACCCTCACAGGCACAAACTAAGACTTCTTGTTTGCTGCTAGATCTTCATACCTCACTGTCACCTGGGCCTGGCTGACACTAGGAAGCATTTCAGAAATGTGATCTAAGCAAGTGGCTACTTAAAAGGCTGCATGAGTATGTTCTGCCAATAACGGTTACTGTTCCTTCTCCAGGATTTACTGATCCTGGTACTTGAATGAAGTCTGCTCCTTTTCCCCACTTACTCCTCTCTTCAATAAGAGGTTTATGTCCCACCCTCCTAAACCTCCTCTCTCCTAAAAAACCTTTTTAGATACACTAAGCTACCCACTCATCCCCAATTTTTTACTTGAATAACAGCAGTGATGCTCTCAAGACCCGCTGATCACTGGACACTGGCTCCAAGGACAGTTGCAGTATGCAGCCTGGACTTTTTAAAGTTCCAGCCTTGGGAAATTTGGTTTGGGAGGGACTCTAGAGTCCAGCCCTGGCTGCTCCTCAGTGACATTCAGAGACATCTCACAGGATTTTCCAATACTTAACCTACAAATAGACTTCACAAAACGGCACTAAATTTGCTCTCCACATGTCCATCTCTAGGTGTCAGTCTTACGGGATTGTGCATTACTCTTGGATTTCTTAAAAGGAAGCATGGCCCCAGGTATGACCTACTTATGTTCCACTACCCCACATTCTTTTTGTGGGGAGGCAGATCCTAAAGTCTGAACTATGTCATGCCACTTGCAAACAGGGCTCCTGGAGTTTTAACAGTTACAATGCGTAAAGCTGATGTCAGAACCAGGACTTAGTGAAGGACCAAAGTTCTGAGGGAGAACCTGTATTCTCTGGCTACTGGTTTATACTGAGCCTTTCTTCCGTTTAAATCTGAGAAAAGTCTTACGTAGATTTAACTCTCCCACTCTCACAACTACATTTACATATAATGCTATTCCATATCTTATTCTCTAGCTAATATGATTTAACATTTGTAAATTAAACCAGAAATATAAAATATATTAGAAAATGTACTCACCTCTATCCCCATTATTTCCTTTGGTGTCTTCAATTGAATCTAAACAATCAATAAGAACTTCTCCAGGTCTTGTTTTCATTTGTCTAAAATAAATATAAAAGCTTTAATTTTATAGCTACAACTACACCTGCTTACAATCTAGTTAGGGAGAGAAGAGACATAAGCATACAAAACAGCCAACAGTATAAATGATACAGCACCAAATGCTCATGCATTTGAAAATAAGGTCTTCAAGAACTTCAAGAACCGGAGATCAGTGGGACCTGTAGTGATCAGAGACGTGAAGAGAAGCCAGAACTAGAAGGAGAGGTAGGATTTGGAAAAGTAAAAGAGCGAGAGAGGAGTCCATGATTAAAGGTCATAAATGAGAAATGATAAGGGAATGTGGGAAGACTGGCGTGGTTGGAGAAGAAGGTGGGTATTGAGAGGTAGAGGGAAATATAGTTGGATATGTAAGAAGGAACCAGATTATGAAGAACCTTGAATGCCAGTCGGATAGGTACAGGCCTTATTCTGTGGACAGTGGAGAATCCCCAGAGGTATCTGAGTAGAGAAGAGGAGGTCAGGCAGTTATGGGAGGAACAGGTTAAAGCAAAGCATCATCAGGACCTAGTGAACTGATAGACAAAGGAGACTACAGAAGGAAGAATAGTTTGCTGATAGAATGTATTCTAGAGTGTCAAAAAAGCCTTAGCAGAATACGTGGTAGAGCCTTCTAACACATTTTCCATAGAGCCAACTCAATTACCCGCTGAAAATACAGATGTGATCATATCACTTCCCTGCTTAAAAGTCTTCCATTTAATCTCCCTGTCCAGAAAATGAAGTCCACAATCCTCAGCTGAACATCTCAAAATCTGGCTAATCTACCTTTCTATTTGTATCTCCATCCTCTACTTGCCAGACTCTGCCTTCCAGCCAATGAGGTTTATATTTCCAAGAGTCTGCTTCTAACATATTTCTTCTTTTTTCTGGAATAATCTCCTCCTGCTTACCCTGACAAGGCCCTGCCCATTCTTCAGGGCTCAAATCAAGGGCAGAATGAACTATTCTGTTTATATAGTCCCTCAGCTTTTATTTTATTCAGGATGGTATTAACTACATTTTTTATAGTTACTTGTCTATGTGTATCTCCTGTACTACAAGGGGGGGGGATCATTTCCTATTATTTCCGTATCTCTAGCTATCAACACAGTAATCAGCACACAGTGAGCATTGGATAAATGTTTAATAAACTGAAAATGTTCATGAAATGGACTTTTGCTTGGATTAAGAACCCTCCAAGGGTAATAGAAAGTTACAGAATATGTGCAATATGTAAATATGGTTTATAATTTTATAAATCCCCTTCCCTCACAACTTCTTAAAGGATCTAAGGCCATGTTGGTATTAGATACCTAGCCGCAACTAAACCTAGGAAATTAATATTTCATTTTCTACCTAAGAAGGTTCTGTTCATGATAAGGAATCATAAGAGTGGCTAAGAAGCTGCATACCATTAACCCAAGAACCTTAGCTTTACTGTTTTCCAACACTTAACATCCCAATGGGCATTTTTTTCCTGGACTTTTGGGTAGGAGGATTCTAATTATTCTCTCTTTAAAGCATGAAATTTTCCAAAAGCAGGGTTTCTGTTTGAGAGGCTCCAAAAGGCAGCTCCTTCTTCCTATTGGTGATTTAGATGAATAACTAGATGGAAGCTTATCATGGAAATAAAGCTTGTGTAGTCAGGAATTCTGGAGAATGCTTACTCCCACCTCCCTCATTTTACAGACATCCAAGCTTAGAATGGTGAAGTCTAGGGGCCTACAATGTCTGTCGCTATTGCAGAGCTAGTTTTAAAACCCCGGTTTCCTGAGTCCCTGCTCTGTGTTCCTTCCACCGCAAACTGGCGCCCCAGTCTCACTTGGGTGTACTAGACGCCCAAGCCCTGGGTGGTCCTCGCCGTGTCTGGGCTCAGCTTCCTCTTGGTCCCCAGGGCCAGGAAACGCACGGGACGAAAACCGCGTAATCTAACCGCGTTCGGGCTGTGGCGCCGGCCTCAGAAGGGCCGCAGCCCCGGCGCCAGTCTGGGGGTCCCCCAAATTGTGGACCACAGGCGCAAACCGCCTCCCACCCTCGCGAGGGCCCTGAGCTGTGGGGCGCAGGCTCGGCCCGCGGGCCGCGAAATCGCGCTGCGGCGCCCTCTACAGGCACCAGGCCCCTCGGGATCCCGGCGACTCACTGCGATGACACGTCGAAGCGGATATCCCGGTCCTCCCAAAGCGCGTCCAGCACAGACATGATGACCAGGGCCCGCGGGCCGCGCGCTTCCCAGAGGCAGAGGCCGAGCGGCGTCTCGCCGGCTCCAAGGCAACGGGCCTCCTCTGTCACGACGTCTACGGCGCGCGCCGAGATCCAAGCTTCCTCGAGGTAGGGCGCGCGCTTCCCCGGCCCCATCGCGTCGTTAAGCGGATTTGAGGCTCAAGGGGAAGCCTCGCTGGCCCCGCCCCAGGAGCGTGTCCTTGACCTCTGAGTGACCTTTCTGACCTCCAAACACACATCCTTAAGCAGTTCCACACCCTGTCCCCATTTTTCTACGTTGACAAGAAATTTAGACTTAAAACTCTGAATTCCATGTCTGGCCCGGCCTGATCTGGCCCTGCCCTCCTCTCCAGCCTCGTGCTGCCCTCTCCTTCTGCCTACATTGTAGCCGGGCAGGGCTCAGAGCCTTTGGAGCGCCCCCTTTCTCTGGAATGCTGTTTTCCCAGGTCTCTTGCATGGCCCGCGCTTTGTCACTTAAGTCCTAGCTCAAATGTCAACTGAGGCGGTCCCCGATCTTTCTGTCGCCGTCCTGTGGGCACTCTGAGGACAGGGCCTCATCTACCTAGTTCGCTTTGAATGGTGCCTACCACAGAGTGGGTACTCAGTAAATACCTTTTTTTTTTTCAGGAAGATTAGCCCTGAGCTAACATCTGCTGCCAATCCTCTTTTTGCTGAGGAAGACTGGCCCTGAGCTCACATCTGTGCCCATCTTCCTCTACTTTATATGCAGGATGCCTACCACAGCGCGGCTGGCCAAGAAGTGCCATGTCCACACCCGGGATCCGAACCAGCAAACCCTGGGCCCTCCGAGCAGAACATGCGAACTTAACTGCTGCGCCACCGGCCGGCCCTCACCAAAACTTCTGATGAGCCCTTAGCCCCAGGAAATATCTGAATTGCAGACTGGTGTGATCCTAAGCAGAAAACCCAGGTAAGCCATGCTTGGACTTCTGATCTACAGAAACGGGGAGATAGTAAATGTCTGTTTTTAAACTGCTAAATTTGTGGTAATTTGTCATATGCAGCAATTGAAAACTAATAAAGATTTTGGTATCGGGGTGGTGTGCTACTCTTAACAAATAGCCGAGGCTGTTAGACCCAGCAAAATTCTGCTGTCAGGAAGCAGGCTGATAAAATTACTCACCTGCAAACATGTGCTACCTTTCATGAAAAAGCAAGGATGACTCTGAGGGTAGAACCAAGAGCCCCAAGGGCAGAGCTGAGAGCCATAGAACATTATTCTCAGATCTTAAAACTTAAGAAAAATCCAACATTTGCCCAGATGGATATCAGAATTGTTTTATGCCAGTGACTCATTTTTTTTCCATTTCTCCCTTTTTGAATTGCAATGTCTCTAACTATTCTCCTATGTCTATCCCGCCATTGTATGATGGGAGTGTTGGGAACAGACAACTGGTCTTTGTCGTTTCATAGGTCTGCCAAGAGGAATTGTACTTCAAGGAACAGTGTTTAATGAATTGAGGTAATCTCCCCTTATCCGTGGTTTTGCTTTCTGCGATTTCAGTTACCCACTGTCAACTGTGATTGAAAATATTAAATGGAAAATTACATGGGCTGGCCCTGTGGTGTAGTGGTTAAGTTTGTGTACTCCACTTCAGTGGCCCCAGGGTTTGCAGGTTCAGATCCTGGGTGCAGACCTACCCACTGCTCATCGGGCCATGCTGTGGTGGCATCCCACATATAAGACGGAGGAAGATTGACACAGATGTTAGCTCAGCGACAATCTTCTTCAAGCAAAAAGAGGAAGATTGGCAACAGATGTTAACTCAGGGCCAATCTTCCTCATGCACACACACAAAATAATAAAATAAAATAAATGGACAGATCCAGAAATAAGCAATTCATAAGATTTAAATTGTGCACCATTCTGAGCAGTGTGATGAAATCTTGTGTCATCCTGTTCTGTCCCACCTGGAGTCATGAACCATCCCTTTGTCCAGCATATCCACACTGTATACACTACCAGCCTGTTAGTCAGTAGCCATCTTGATTGTCAGATGGACTGTCGAGTTACCGCAGTGCTTGTGTTCAAGTAACCCTTATTTTACTTAATAAGGGCCCCAAAGTGCAAGAGTAGTGAGGCTGTCAATTTATTACAGTATGTTGTTATAAAAATTGTTCTATTTTATCGTTAGTTGTTGCTAATCTCTTACCGTGCATAATTTATAAATTAAACTTTATCATAGGTATGTATAGTAAAAAACAGTATATATTAAGTTCAGTACTATCTGTAGTTTCAGACATCCACTGGGGGTCTTGGAACTTATCCCCCATGGATAAGGGGGGACTATACATTCAGGAGCCTCGTTTGCACTGGATATGGATGATTTAAATGATGAGGTCTTGGATTTTGAGCTGATGCTGTAACGGGAGGAGCAGGGAACCTTGGGAGGGAGTGAATTTTTTTTTCTTCCGGAAGGGGCATAAATTGTTGAGGGCAGACTGTGGTAGGCGGAATTTTAAATGGCCTCTAAGGTTCCCCCATCCTTTACATAATTGCATCTTTTACGTAATTCTGTACATACTTTACATAATTCTCTCCCCTTAAGTGTGGAAGAATCTGAATATGATAGGATGTCAGTCCTGTGATTAGGTTATGTTATGTGGCAAAGATGGCATTTTGCAGATGTGATTAATGTCCTTTGAATTAATCAAAAGGGAGACTATCCTTGGTGGGCCTGACCTTATCAGGTGAGCCCTTAAAAGAGATTTTCCTGCTGACTTTGGTGAAATAATAGCCAAGTTGTGAGAGAGTCACATGGCTAGGAACTGAGGGCAGCCTCTAGGAGCTGAGAGCCAGCAAGAAAACAGGAACTCCACTCATCCAATCACAAGGAACCAAATTCTGTCAACAACCTGAATGAGCCTGGGAGAGGACCCCAAGCCTCAGATGAGATCACATCCTGGCTGACACCTTGATTTCAGGTGAGACCCTGAGGAAAGAACTCACCCTATGGGACCGGCCCCGTGGCCGAGTGGTTAAGTTCGTGCATTCTGCTTCAGTGGCCCAGGGTTTCTCTGGTTCGGATCCTGGGTGCAGACATGGCACCACTCATCAAGCCATGCTGAGGTGTCATCCCACATGCCACGAGTAGAAGGACCCACAACTAAAAATATACAACTGTGTACCAGAGGGCTTTGGGGAGAAAAAGGAAAAATAAAATCTTTAAAAAGAAAAAGAACTCAGCCCAGACTCGTGACCCACAGAAACTGTGAGACAATAAATGTGTTGTTTTTAAACTTCTAATGTTGTGATCTTTTATTGTGTAGCAATATTAAATTAATACACTGATATCACAGTAGGACCTTTCAAATGAAGACTAAAATGAAGACCTGTTTTTCTTTTTAAGATTGGCACCTGAGCTAACATCTGTTGCCAATCTTTCTTTTTCCTTCTTCTCCCCAAACCTCCCCCAGTACATGGTTGTATTTTCTAGTTGTGAGTGCCTCTGGCTGTGCTAGGCGGGACGCCACCTCAGTGTGGCTTGATGAGTGGTGCCATGTCCACCTCCAGGATCTGAACTGGTGAAACCCTGGGCCACCAAAGTGGAGCGCAAGAACTCAACCACTCGGCCATGGGGCCGGCCACTTCAAGACCTATTTTTCAATGTGTGTATAAGTGGGCCTTCATATGCTTTGTTTCCCAGACGTTTTTTTTCTCCTGCCTTCACAAGTAAAGAGTTTGTGTGTGTTTGTGTTTTTACTTTTTAAATCAATTTTATTGAGGTATAATTTACAAACAATAAAATGTGCCTATTTTAGGTGTACTTTTCGATGAATTTTGACAAGGATATGCATCCATGTAATCACTACCATAAGGAAGCTATAGAACATTTCTGTCACCCCAAGAAGTTTCCTTGTGCCCCTTTGCAGTCAACTCTAGGTCCCAGGAAACCACTTATTTGCTCTCTATCACTGTAGATTGTTTTTCTTGTTCATTATTTTATTGTGGTAAAATATTTACAACATAAAATTTGCCATACTGTAAATTATTTTTGAGTGTTCTAGAATTTCATATAAATTGTGTAATAAATTAAGTACTATATATACTCTTTTGTATCTGGTGTCTTTCATTTGGCACAATGTTTTGAGGTTCCTCCATATCGTTACGTGTATCAGTAGTTCATGCCTTTTTATTGCTGTCTTGTATTGCATTCTGTGGATGTATTGCAGGTTGTTTCACCTGTTGGACATTTAGGTTGTTTCCAGTTTTTTGTTTTGTTTTGCTTTGTTTTTTTACTGAGAAAGATTCACCCTGAGCTAACATCCATTGCCAATCCTCCTCTTTTTTTTTTGCTTGAGGAAGATTAGCCCTGAGCTAACATCTGTGCCAATCCTCCTCTGTTATTTTGCATGCAGTACAATGTCACAGCACAGCTGGTGAGTGGAGTAGGTCTGCACCTGGGATCTGAATCTGCGAACCTAGCCCGCTGAAGCAGAGCATGCCGAACCACTAGGCCATGGGGCCAGGCCCCATTTCCAGTTTTTATCATTAATAAAGTTGCCAAGAACATTCATGCACAAGTTTTTTGTGCATGTAAATTTTCATTTATTTTGGGTAAGTACCGAGGAGTGGACTTGCTGGGTCATATGGTGGGTGTATGTTTAACTTTTTAAAAAACTGCTAACTGTTTTCCATAATAGTTGTACCATTTTACATTTTACATTCCTACCAGCAATGTATCTCCATCATTTGTCAATCTTTTTTTTTTTTTAAATATTGGCACCTGAGCTAACAACTGTTGCCAATCTTCTTTTTTTTTTCCTGCTTTTTCTCCCCAAGTTCCCCCAGTACTTAGTTGTATACTCTAGTTGTGGATCCTTCTAGTTGTGGCATGTGGGACACCACCTCAGCATAGCCTGACAAGCAGTGCCATGTCTGCGCCCAGGATCCGAACCAGCGAAACCCTGGGCCACCAAAGTGGAGCATGTGAACTTAACCACTTGGCCATGGGGCTGGCCCCGCCCCACCCCATCAATCTTTTTAACTTTAGCGGTTCTGGTGGGTGTGTAATATCTCATTGTGGTTTTAACTTGTATTTCTCTAATGACTAATGCTGTTGAGCATCTTTTCATGTGCTCATTGCCATTTGTAAATCACTTTTGTAAAGTATCTGTTTATGTCATTTCACATTTTTAATGGAGTTGTTTTCTTGAATTTTGTAAGAGTAAAGTCCTTTGTTAGATATATGTATTGTGAATATTTGCTCTCAGTCTCTGGCTTGCCTTTTCATTTCTTAATTTTTGTCTTTCAAAGAGCAGAAGTTTTAAATTTTTAATGTTAATGAAGTTTAATTTATCACTTTTTTTCTTTTCTATTTAATATGTGTTTTTTTTTGTGTGTGTGTCCTGTTTAAGAAATCTTTCCCAACCCAAGATCACAAAGATTTTCTTCTAGAAGTTTTACAGTTATAGATTTTCACTTAAGTTTATGATCTGTTTCAGGTTAATTTTTATAGATGGTGTGAGGGAAGGTTGAGGTTCATTTTTGTCCTCTGTGAGGTTCCTGTATTTTCTATATGAATATTTAGTTGTTCTAGCACCATTTGTTGGTGGTGTTCTCACTTGCTTGCTTCTTTCAAGAGCACCTATTTTAATATAATGTTATATGTCAATTACACCTCAATAAAAAAAAAAAGAACACCTGTTTATACTTATCCCTAAAAGCAAAGTTAAGGGCTTAAGGAGGGAAATGTGTGATGACCTTAGAGCCCAGTGAAAGGCAGTGCGTGGGCTGGATTGCAAAGAAGCGCAGTAAAGTCAAAACAAGAATACAAACTGGCTATCATTATATCACTGAGTCATTTCTTCTTCTCCCTACTCTATCCATCTCCTTTTTAAAATGATCACCTTCTTTATTAATGTTGAGCATTCACAGGTAAGAATGAGAATCTTTCCTCCAAGATGTCAGCTTTCGCCTTTCATTGAGTGTCCACAATATGATGGATGTCCCTCTGGTTGCTATTCTTTCTGCCAAGAAGATACATCTTACTAAGAAGACATTCAGGAAGCCAAAATGCATTTTATAACCTTAAGATTAAAAAAAAAAATCTAAAATCTAGATTTACATAAGAAAATATGCTTCAGTGCAAATATTTTACTCTTTGTCCAATTTGGCAGTCAATATTGATTGAAATATATTTGTATCTTAAAACAAAATTATTGTACTTAGAAACAACTTTCCAAGTCAAACTATTAGAAAACTGATACTAAGCAAAAAGTCTTTAAGGGGAGAAGTAATTATATGTGTACTATTCCAAGTATTTGATCTATTCCTTAACTTCTATGTGAAGACAATCATTAAATGTCAAAAGTTCCTGAGTAGGGTTTATTGCAAACTATTTTAAAATATAAAAGAGCTACTAGAGGGTTTTAATGTTATTATAAAAATTTTATTTTATAATACTTAACCTGTGTACTGAAATGTTGAATTTATAGAACTTTTTGGTATTTTGTTGAACAGAGATTTTCTTACTATAAGGAAGTTGTAGAATCCATTTAAGATTTCAAGTTTATGCAAAATAAAATGAAACTTTATGGTTTATGTGCAAGATGTTCT